AAAAATCTCGTCATTGTAACTAATTTTCTCCCAAAATTCTCGTCTGTAAATTTATTTCTCTCTCAAAAATCTCGTCACTGTAATTAATTTTCTCTCAAAAATCTCGTCGCTGTAATTAATTTTCTTCCAAACTTCTCGACACTTATTTTTTTTCTCCCAAAATCTCGTCACTGTTAATTTTTTTCTTCCCAAAATTCTCACCACAATTAAATTTTTTTCTTCCCAAAAATCTCGTCACTGTAATTAATTTTCTCCCAAAATTCTCGCCACTGTTAAATTTTTTTCCTCCCAAAAATTTCGTCACTAATTTTTTCCTCCAAAAATCTCTTCACTATTTTAATTTTTTTCCTCTTTTTTTCAGGCAAAAAAAAGAAAATCGAGAGGCGAGATTAACGCGTGACGACGACGATGATGATGACAGTAGTTGTTTACTGGACGACAAGAAGAATAATACTGACAAAATGAAAGGTGGTGTTGGAGGAAAACACGCGTGCTTATGTCACACTTCTCAAGATACGATTGAATGTCTCTCGCTGAGTAAATCGCGCGCAAAGTGATCTTTATACATTTCTCTAACTATACATAAACGAGCATTGCCAGTGTTTGTCTCGCTGTCAGTTTAAAACTGTAATTTGTGGAGACTGTTTTGCGGTGACTGTCGACCATATATACGAGATAATAAAACTCGTTTCGCACGAGAGTTGTGGAAAAGATGCGCGCAAGACGCAAGAGAGAGAGAAAAGAAGTACAACAACACCAGAATTGCAAAAGTACAATCTTTTATACACAGAGTCTCTCTCAAACTATATACAACAGAACTAACTAATAGGTGGTTGAACCAGAATCACTCGCGAAGCGAAGCAAAAGTTTCCGCGCTAATATACGAATCGTCGCGTTCACCACCGAATTCAATCGAAAACACACGAATCAATCGTCTCGTTTGTATTCGCCAGTGCTCGTCAATTTCCGTCCCTTATTTCGAAAAACGAAACAGTAGTGCTGGGAATATTTAAATTCGAAATTAGAAAAGAAGGAAAATTTAGGGGAAAAAAGTTAAAAGACAGAAAGGAAAACGAAGGAAGAAAAATAGAAAAGTAGAAAAGAAAAAGAAAAGTAGAAAAAAAGAAGAGGAGTACAGAATAAAAGCAGAAAGAAGAAAAAAGAAGAGTAGAAAAAAAGAAAAGTAGAAAAAAAGAAGAGGAGTACAAAATAAAAGTAGAAAGAAGAAAAAAGAAGAGTAGAAAAAAAGAAAAGTAGAAAAAAAGAAAAGGAGTACAAAATAAAAATAGAAAGAAGAAAAAAAGAAAAATAGAAAAAAAAGAAGAGGAGTACAAAATAAAAGTAGAAAGAAGAAAAAAGAAGAGTAGAAAAAAAGAAAAGTAGAAAAAAAGAAGAGAAGTACAAAATAAAAGTAGAAAAAAGAAAAAAAGAAGAAAAAGACAAGAAGGAAAAAAGAAGAGAAGAAAAAACGAAAACAAAGGAGATTAAGAGCGATTATTGGAAGAAATTACCTCAAGGAATAAAAATGAAAAATTGTAAATTTTTTTTCTCAAAAGAAACTCGTTTCTCCCTGAATGAAATAATTTAGATTAGATTAAATAGTAGGTTGTGCTAAATAAATCGGCTTGCTCGACAAACACGCACAGTATTTATAAGACAAGATTTACGAAACGTTTGTACCCGGTGCAATGATCTGGCACTCGTCCTCCTACACAATTTTGGCTACACATTCACTTTTCTTCTTATTGCACATGATATCGATTTAAAGTACACAGTCACATTTTTTTAAACCGCGATATCAATCTCCCTTTTATTTTTCCTAACGGTATATATTCTCCCAAAGTGCATTCTTTTTTTCCTCCAATAATTTCATAACTTTATTCCTTGTACGTATATATATACGAAAGAATACTTTTTTAAAGAAAAAATTCTTTTGGCAAATTTTTTCATGTATTTATATCGCCGAGTTTTTTTTTATTTTGAGATAGAAAATTAAATTTTTCAAAAAATTTGTATTTAAAATCAGAAGAAAAATCTAATTAACTACTACTTGCTGTTTATTATTTTCAAAAATTTTAATTAAATCGGAATTCAATTATTTTTGTGAATAATACAATTCTAGAATTCAATTATTTTCATAAATATAAAAAATCCCCGGAGAAATTCAATTGTTTCAAATGTACAATTTTTGAAAAATTTCTAAGAATTCAATTATTTTTTTTCTAATTTAAAAGAAAATTTGGTGAAATAATTCTATTTTCGAAAATTTTAAGAAATTTCTCAAATAGATTTCAATTATTTTAACAAGCAGTTAAATTCTGGTATTATTATAAAGTAATAAAATTCTGGAAGTCAATTATTTTTATAAATAATAAAATTCTTCACTGAAATTCAAATGCTATTAATTCAATTTTAATAAAATTTTTCGCAGAAATTCAATTATTTAAGAAAAATTTAATAAAATTTTTCACAGGAATTAAATTATTTTTATAAATTTTAAATTGTTGAATTCAATTTATTTATTTAAAAAATTTTAAATTTTAAATTCTACAAAACAATTTCAAATTCTTTCCAGAAATTTTAAATAATTTCTTCGCTAGAATTGAATTATTTTCATAAATAACAAAAATTCTTCGCAGAAATTCAATTATTTTCTATTCAATTTTTTTTAAATTTCTCGAAAGAATTTAATTTAATTATTTTTATAATTTTACAATTCTTCGCTGAATTCAATTATTTTCTTTTGCAATTTTATTAAAATTTCTCGAGAAAACTGAATTATTTTTATAATTTTAAAATTATTCACAAAAATTCAATTATTTTCAAAATATTTGTAATAATATTCTTTGGAAAAATTTCATTTTTATTAACATTTTAATAAAATTCATTAAAGAAATTTGACCATTTTCAGAAATAATAAAATTCTTAGCTAGAATTAAATTGTTTTTAATGGTTTAAATAACATTCTTTGCAACAATTCAATTATTCCCGAAAATAGTAAATTTCATCGCAGGAATTGAATTATTTTCAAAACAATTTTAATAAAATTTCTAGAAAAAGAATTGAATTATTTTTCATATTTTTAAATAAAATTCTTTGCAAGAATTCAATTATTTTTAATATTTTTAAATGAAATTCTTTGCAAGAATTCAATTATTCTTGACAATTTTAATAAAGTTTTTCAAAAAAAATTAAAATTTTGTTAAAATTTTTTTAATTAATTCAATTATTTCAAAAAATGTTAATAAAATTTTTCGAAAGAATTCAATTATTTTGATAAAAATAATAAAATTCTTCTCACGAATTAAATTATTTCAGATTAAAAATTTTGAAAGTTACAACTTTTTTTAAACAAAAAAGTTATCTTTTAAAACTAAGAAAACTTCTTCTCGAAATTTCTAAATCAAAATTAAAATAATTTAGTGAATATTTGAACTAATTAGAACAAATGTGATATAGAATTTCTAGAAGTTAATTTTTTTAAATTAATTTCCGTTATTATATAATCTTCAAAATATTAAATTAGAATTTCACTCATTTCAAAATTCAAAACATTTAGAAGGGGAAATTACAAAAAAAATAGGAAATAGTAAACCAAACTTAATATTATAAATATTAATTTTTCTGCAAACAAAGTAGTTTCCTTCTAACAATTTTTAATTATCTAAACACTCTTCATTCAAAAAGAATTGCGAAATTGGAAAAATTCAATTTTGAAACTTTTCGCTAATAATTCCTTGACTAAGAAAAAAAATACCAAAGAGTATATTTGAAAAATCCAATTCGAAATTTTTCGCTGAAAAGAATCCTTGACTAAAAAAACGAAAGAGTATTATTTGAAAAATTCAATTTAGATCAATTTCAATTTCACCCAAAAAAAATCCCTAACAAAAGAAAACAAAGAATATATATTTGAAATCAATTGCAAATTAAATGCAATCTAAAAATAAAACCTGGCTGATTTTTTTCTCCACTTCCTACAAAGATTTATCTACTTATTTCATTAAATACTTTTCAAAAAAAAAAAAAAAAAATTTCCAATAGGAATTATTCTTTTTTCCTCAACAACTGATAAGATAATTCCTATAGATTGAATACTGAGAATTGAATAGAGAGACGACTTATAGAGAGAAGTAAATCGACGAGAGATTATAATATGCATCAGTGCAGTCAATTGGAAACAGGAGAAAAGTATATTGGACTTTCGTATATACATATACTTATTATTGAAGAGGCATTTGCCTGTTACTGAATATATCCAAGTTTCATGAGGTAATCAAAAGACGTATAAAGCATTTGAAACAGATGGTTTTTGCCATTACTAAACGATATGCTGGTATGAAGTGAAGAGAAAAAACATAAAAAGCAAAAAAAAAGAAAAAAAGAAAAGAAAAAAGTTACGCACGTGTGTGGCATACCTTTCATTTTACCTGCACTTTGCCAAGGTGAAAATCGCACGATTACTAATATGCATAAATAAATATAAGGACATTGAACTTGCTAAACACTCAATCATACAGTTATGAGTTACTAAAATGCTCTACTCGACTATAAATTATCCTAATGACAAATTGTCCGCATGTCCATTTTCAATGAACGAATGAAACAGTTACGAAACATGCCAATTATTTTTTTCATTTTTTAAATAATTAACATTGAACCACGAGAAAAATTATTATCAAATGTGAATATTAATTTGACGCTGATTTATGATAATAAGTTGATAATAATAATAATAATAATAATAATAATAATAATAATAATAATAATAATAATAATAATAATAATAATAATAATAATAATAATAATAATAATAATAATAATAATAATAATAATAATAATAATAATATATAAACGTTAACAACTCCCAATTGTTCAAATTAATAATATTTGTTCACTAATTAAAATTCGCCGTAGAAAAAAACATAAAATTTGAAAAAACTTCACGCCGAAAAATTTCTGACGACTCAAAGAAATAATATTCAAATATTTGTACTCACCACGAATTTGCTTGCTTTGTTTATCATCTCGATGAGAAATTCCACTAGTCTCCAAAATTGTATGAAGACATTTTATATTCTCTCTGCACATACATACTATCTCTCCCTGTAAAATTCAATCAACTCTTTTAGAAAAAAAAACAAATTGTAAAAGAAATTTTCTTTTTACAAAATTTTAAAACATTCACAAAGCCAAACAAAAACAGCAATAAATTATTTCGACAAAAAAAATTATTTTGAATATATACAAACAATTAATTACAATTATAATCATAAGAGAACAAACAAACAAATTTTCTTAAAATAATGGCTTTTGGAAACTAGAATTTTTCCACTATTGTAAAACTTTTTTGTTAATTAGTAATATTATTAATTTTTTTTAACTACTTCTAAAATAATAATATAAATTTGAATTAGATACGTTTTTTTTTTTTTTTTAGTTTGGAGAAATTATTTAGTTAATTATTAGTAAATTATTTAACTAAATTAAAACTACGATTCGAAATAAACTACTCTTTTTAACAAAAAACTAAACTAAGACTAAATTACAAAAAAAAATTTAAATACATTTAATTAATCAAATTTATCAACTTAAGTAATTTTCACTTCACTTGTTTCTTGAAAGTGAAAATAATAATTATAACTAAAGATCAAAGAAAATTTTTAACTTACTGTACTGATAAAATTAACGACAGAAATCGTTTGAAAAAAAAACATTTTCAAACAAAAAAAGAACATTTCTGTTAAATATAATTATAACTTTCCGCTAAATATAAAAATTAATTAAATTCCGATAAGTTAATTAACTTCCGATAAATATTGAAAATTAATATCGACTAGTTTTAATCTAAGCAATAAAATTGATAATATCAGTAGTTTAATCAGTGAAATCTCTATCGGCGAAGACTTAAATATTTACAAAATTCTTCCATGACAAAAAGCCATTACGCCAGAATAGTGTCTATAATATTCTTGCATTTGATAAATTTCTCTGCTACCTATAAATTGTTTTATTGATTGACAGTTTTATTGGTTTTCAACACGCGAATAGCTGTTAAATTTACTTTTCTCCTTTGGCCCACGCGATCACTTCCAAATCAGAGTCTTCTTAACTGCTAGTTCCCACAATTCGTCATTTTCTCCTTTACGAATTAATTCCTAAACTTTGATTTTTCTACAGGTCAAAAGTCTATTGACCTGTAACTAATATCCTAAAATAAATTATAACTAAAACTAAACTAAATTTTATTATAAATTTTTTTTTATTTATTCTTAACTAATAAAAAACTATTAAATATACAAAAAAAACTAATTAAATTCCTAAGGAATTTGTATTTACAGGATAGGAAGTTAGTAGGTTATTATATTCTCTAATATCCTAAGAAACCTCGGCGATTTTTCAAATTATTTTCTAAATAATTTATTACTTCAATCTTATTCATATAAATTGAATTCAATCAATTGTATTATTTCCTTACAATTGTATATTTTTTTTATTAGAAATACTGATTGAGAATGAGTCTATAAATATTCAATATAATTAATTAAATTAATTATATTAATAAACATTTCTATGGTGATTGAAATTAAAGTTTCCAAAATAGCCAAAAAGAAAGCAATTAGTTTTAGTAAATTGCAACATGCAACATGGCAGACAAGGACAGTTAATGACACAGACACAAAAATACACAAACACAGCAAGACACATCTTCACACATCTTTCATACAAAGAAACAGGAGAAACATTAAATTTCTATAAAATATATTTTATTATATTTTCTTTTCTTATTGCAGAGTCAAAATTGTTTCTTTGTTGAAATAATTAATTTAAATTTATATAAAACATGTACGAAGATGGACAATAAATAATAAATAATTATAAATAATGAATAAAATTTCCACAGTTTTTTTTAATAAATAGCATAAAATGTTAATAGCGTAGCAAAATAATGTTAATAAATAGCAAATATGTTAAAATTCGAAAATAACAATTTTATATTAATCTTATTTTTTCTTACTTTTTTCATTTTTTTAATCAAAATGAAAAAAAAATTGATTTTTAAAAGAAAATTTTCTCAAAAATCTGTGTATTTCAAAAATACGCAGATTGAAAAAAATTCAATTTAATTCATTTTAAAAAATGTTTCTTAAAGACTAGTATCACATTTTTCTCCTTTCATCTTTTGTCTCTTTATAAAAATCTAAACATATTTGCCACTGAAGAGCCAATTAAATTGATAAATTTACCACAGAAGCGAAGTGGAAGCTTTATACATTTATAAAAGGAATTCTTAACTTTTTTCAATAATTGCGACAAAAAGTGAAAAAAGTTAATAACTTTATGAATGAATTTCGCGACTTGGATACATACGCAATCATGTCCAACGACGTGTCCCTTTTTCATAACACAATTTTCAGCGTGCAACAGTTGACAATGTGACTTTTTAAACAATTTGCTCAAGTCCTCAACGTCGCTGTCGCTGTCTTCAGTCACTGCAGTCTGTAAAGAAAAAAAAACGTATTTTTGTAAGCACAAAGCATAAAGATTTAGAGAGAATTTCATGCATTATTATATGTATTAATAAAGTTAGTCGAAATAATGCGAATAAAAGAAGTGGAAAAAAAAGCTTGATTAATGAAAGCTATTTTGAGTTTTTTCGAGAATAAGGGAAAAAATAGCCAATAGAAATTCTAAACTAAAGGAAAAACTAGTAAAAAATGGGATACATTTTTCAAATTATTGCCAAAAAAAACAATTGTATTTTTTTCTGTACTCTATTTTTGTTAACAAAATCACAGAAATTGACATGACAAATATGACGTCTTTTTTGTGTCATAGTAAAAATATCGACATACGATCAAAAAAAAACATCATAAAGGAACGTACTTTGATACGCCTTCTTGGAATTGGCGAGGAATAGTCGCGAATCGCGCTCATACTAGACGCGCAATCTGATTGACTATCAAGAAAGTTTCTATAATCGTCTCCAAAGTCCAGGAGACGGCGAGCCGCGTCGAGGTCCGGTGTCTCGCTGTAAGGCTCGCTCATGTACTTCTCCTAAAACAAAAATAATTTTTATTGTATTTATTTTCTATATTATTTCTTTTTCTTATTTTCTATATTATATTTCATTTTTTTTTCATTTTCTATATTATATTTACTTTCTTTTTTTATTGCTTCCTCAAAGAGAAAAGATTTTCTATACTAGAATTATTGCATTTACTAGTCGAGTTTCTAATAAATCATCACAATTATTATGAATTACCTGATAATTATCCCAAGCTTGCTCGGAGAATGAAACATTTCCAAGACTATTTTTCTCTGCGTCGCTGTCAATGTTGAGAGCGTTCGTGTGCTCCTTGCCACGATTGCAAGTGTCCTCTTCCTCCTCCGTGTCGGATGTCGAGGAATTCGATTGACAGTAAGTTAATCGAAGTCCAGCAGAAACGGGATCGCTGACTGTTATTTTCTCATTAACCAATTCCTGATGTCCCAATGAACCAGAGAATGATCCCGATTTAACGAGTGTCGTTAAACGTCCATGTGAATCGCGGCCAATTGTTCTCGTTGCACGGCATGCCTGCTGCGCTTTTTTCGAACTGGCATCACTGCTTCCCGATGTTTGCTGTGCATTAACACCGTCCGATCCAGATTCACTTTTACGACTCACTGTCTTTTTGCGTAATCTACTTTTTCGTCGACGCAACGAACTCGTTCTTATTGTCCTCGCATCCTGACCGCTCACCGTCTCCTCCAAAAGAGTCGATGTCGATTTGTTGAATAGAGCCGACGATCCTCTGCAATATTTTTTAGTATATTATTTTAATTTTCTTTTTCTTTTAATTTTATTAATTTGCAAAAATTGTTTTATTTAACTAATTTGATTTCAGGCTTTGCAATCAATAATTGATTTTAAAAAAGTAGCTTTGAGACTGAAAAAAGGAGTAAAAAAGTGGCTATCGAAAAATTAAATTTGATGACTAAAAAACTCGTTTTAGTCGATACAAAAAAATCACAAAAATTTGATTCTTTATCTTATTTTCCTGACATTTTTCAGATTTCGATAAAAAATATTCACTGTTTTTCCTATCCTAATTTTTATCAAATTCAATTATTTTCCAAATTTTTAGTTGGAATTCTTCAAAAATTCGATTATTATTAAAAATAATTTTTGAAATTGAGAAAATAAATTTTTTCAAATTAAAATTTTATTTCAATTAAATTTGACAAAATTCTTAATTCGAAATTTAAATAAATATTTTTAATTTTTAAGAGAATTTCCCTATATTCAAAAAAATTTAATTAAAATTTTTAATCTATTTAGAAAAATCACAAGAAATTAATTCTTTGTTTCCCTGACATTTTCCTGATTTCGATAAAAAATATACACTGTTTTTCTTATCCTAATTCTAAATTTTTATCAAATTCAATTATTTTCCAAATTTTTAGTTGAAATTCTTCAAAAATTCGATTATTTTTAAAAATAATTTTTAAAAGTAAAAAAATGAATTTTTTCAAATTAAAAATTTAATTTCAATTAAATTTGACAAAATTCCTAATTCGAAATTTAAATAAACATTTTTAATTTTAAGAGAATTTCCTTATTTTCAAAAAAATTTAATTAACATTTTTCAAAAGATTAATTTTTTTATAATTTCTAAATTAAATTATTTTTACTGGAATAATTTTTCTACAATAAATATATATAAATACTCATTTATTTTCCCCCTGGAATGGAGATTTTAAATAAGTTTAATTAAAAAGCATTTTGAAATTTATCTATTTCTAAAAATTTATATTATAACGCATTTTTAATATTCAATTTTACTGTAAAAAATTGTAACTGAAATTTATTTTCAAATCAATTTTTATTAGAAAGTTCCACAAGAATTCACTTATTTCAATAAAAAAATAAATAATTAATAGAATAATTGATTATTTCTTAAAATTGAATAAGAATATTATCAAATTTTATAAAAATAATTAAATTCACAAAACATTTCCTTAAAATTTTTGAAAATATTTGAATAACAATTCAATTTTTATAATTAATCAATTTTGTTAAAAATTCGTAATTAATAATTTTATTATTAAAGTTTATTAAAATATTATAATACAATTGTTAAAAAATTAAATTCTTGGTTAAATTCTTTCAATCTATTAAAAATAGACTAATTTTAAAAAAATTTTAATTGAAAATTTAGTTTTTATATTGAAATTTTTAATTAAATTTTTTTCAAAAAATTTCTCTCAACGTTTTTAAAATAATCGTTTTCTGTTAATAATTGTAAATGAAAAATTATATTAAAATGTTTAAGAAATAATTGAATTCCATAAAAGATTTTTTTTTATTAAATTTCATTAAATCTTTTGAAAATATTGTAGTTTTTTCTAATAATTTTAAATAAAAATTTTAAACGTTTTACGAAGAATTTCTCTCAATTTCTTAAAATAATAACAGTGTTTGTTAGTTATTGCAATTAAAAATTTTATTATTCAATTTTATTAAAATTTTTGTTTGGAAATAATTGAATTCTTTTAAAGAACTTTATTAATAGTTTTAAAAATTGATTTTTTTCGAAAAAGTTATTAAATTTATTAAAATTGTATCGAAAATTATTGAATTCCTGAGAAGAATTTTATTATTTATGAAAATTATTTGAATTCTCGAAACGAATTTTATTAAATTTTTTTTATTATCTATAATTGATTTTCTGTGAAAAATTTTTTATTAGTTTTAAAAATAATGGAATTCTTAAGAAAGATTTTCATTAAATTTTTGAAATTTTGAATTACTTCAAAGAATTTTATTAAATTTCTTTAAATCTTTTGAAAATATGTAATGTAGTTTTTTCTAATAATTTTAAATAAAAATTTTAAACGTTTTACGAAGAATTTCTCTCAATTTCTTAAAATAATAGTGTTTGTCAGTTAATTAAAATAAACAATTTAATTAAATTAAAAATTTTATTATTGAATTTTACTAAAATTTTTTTTTTTTGTTCAAATAATTGAATTCTTTTAAAGAATTTTATTAATATTTTTAAAAATTGATTTTTTTCGATAAAGTTATTAAGTTTAATAAAAATTGTATCGAAAATTATTAAATTCCTGAGAAGAATTTTATTATTTACGAGAATAATTTGAATTCTCGCAACGAATTTTATTAAATATTTTAGTATAATTGATTTTCTGTGAAAAATTTTAGTTTTTAAAAATAACTGAATTCTTGCGAAAGATTTTTAAAAAGTTTTTGAAGTTTTGAATTTTTTCAAAGAATTTTATTATATTTTTTAAGAATATTTTTCTTTTATTTCAACTAATTAGCAGATTCAAATTTGTGCGAATTTTCAGGCAAAAGAAAAAAAATGAATAAAGTGGCTTTCAGTGTCACGAATTTAAAAAAAGTATCCAAATAGTAGCTAATCGTAAAAAAGTAGTAAATAGTAAATACTAGGTTTTAGTAGATGAGTCAGAGTGCAAAGCCTGCAATTTGATTGACTAGCGCTTTTTGTCGATTGCTGACAAACCCGGTTCTTTTTCGATTCGCAATCACAATATGCAAAAATGTACCAGACAGAAAATTTAATTACATTTCTACAATTAAAAATGAATAAAATAAGAAAATTATTTGAAGAAGAAGAAGAAAATTGTACTCACGATGCGTCTAGTGAGGAGGATTTGATAGGCGACGAAGCAACAAGTTGATGGAGAGCCGTTTCCGAGATGGAGAATTGTGAGATTGAGTCATTACCCTCATTTGCATTTGAATTGTTTCTGATTTGTGTAATGCAGGAAACACTCCATGGCCGCGGTCCATTTGTCTTTCGCTTCGTGCGAAGTACAACTTTCGGTGTACTCGTGTCCAATAACAATTGCTGCTGATGGCATTCATTAACCGGCATATTGTCCGTCGAATCGAAAATTTCCTGCGAAACTGATTGCGACACACAACCCAAATATCCATCGAGCCGTCGATATGTCGCTACACTGCTATGCAAATCCTCCGATGAAATCGATTGCTTCTCAATGTCCGATTCACCTGTCGTGTACTCGCCACTTGCATCGCAACTGTCTAACGATCGATACTGCAAAAATAAACGAACGCTAATTAGTTTCGCATTCACTAAACAAATCGAATAAAATAAAATAAATAAATGAACTTACTTCTGAATTTGATTTCTCGTCATATTTCCCCATGGAATTGAGCTTGAGCCATTCGCGAATTCGAGCGTATTTGGCGCGATTGCTGTTGAGATCGCCCCCTTTGCGATCCTCGAAAATAAGTGGCGTGACACGTCCCTCCTCTCGAACTAGTTTCTCCACTTCCATGACAAGTCGATGAATATTGTACTTGTCGCTCTTCAATTCGTCACCACTCTCCCTTTGACAATTCTTCTTTTCACAGTTCCATTTTTCATTTTCCCCCGAACGCTTACTAATCGGACTGATTTGTTTCTTCGACAATTGTGTGACATTTGTTTTATCATTGTCCACAACCTCGCCGAAATCCAAGGAAACTTTGACGTTCGTCTTTCGACAGGTCATTTCCTCGGCGTGCGAATTCGTATAAGTCCACTCGTCTTCCGATGAAACTGCGTCGACGACATTTGTCGATTCTTCCATTTCCACTGAACCGTCCGCTTCCGAGTCTGTATCGCGGTGCTTGAAATAAAACGTAGCGCAGTTCTTCGATTTTCTGTTCGATCTGTCGAGAAAAAGAGAAAAATGTAACTAGAGTTAATTTATTTTATTTTGTAAACTATATATTTTTTTAAATACTTTGTTTTATTATTTTTTTTAAAATAGACTTAAAATTCAATTTTACGAAATTTCATCGATGATTCGGAAATTCTTCAATTGTATATTAGAAAATAGCTTCAAATAATTTTTTAAAAAAATCAATTAAATTTTTTCAAAACTTCTTAAAATTCTACAGAATTATTTTTTAAAAGTATAAAAAATTCAGATTTTAAAAAATTTTAATTTAAAACCTTTTCGAAATTCAATTATTTCCATCAAAATTCATGCAGTAATGCTTTAATATTCAATTATTTTCTAAAATTTTAACGGAAATTAATTTTTACATAAATTACTATTAGAAAATTCTACGAGAATTCAATTATTTAAATACAAATATAAATAATTTATTGAATAATTGAATATTTCTTAAAACTGAATTCTCATAAATAATTTTATCAACAAATTTTTAAGAATAATTAACATTTTTCGAGGAACTCGATTAGAATTATATTATAAAAATAATTGAAATTATGCGATGAGTTTTATTATTTATAATAATAATTGAATTATTACGAAGAATTTTATAACAAATTTAAATAATTGATTTTTTTCGAAACAATTTATGTCAATTTTTTTTAAATAATTGAATTCTTTTGGGAAATTTTAGTAAAATAATAAATATTGAAAATCATTGAATTAAGAAACATTTTTGAAAATAATTGAAATTTTGCCAAGAATTTTATTAAAATTTTTGAAAATAATTGAATTTCGGCAAAGAATTTTGCTATTTTTAAAAATAATTGAAATCTTGGCGATAATTTAAAAAAAATTTGAAAATAATTGAATTTCTGCGAAGAATTTTATTAATCTTAAAATTAATTCAATTCCTGTGATTAATATTGCTATTTATAAAAATACCTAATTAAATTTTGCAATAAATTTTATTATTTATAAAGATAATTGAAATTTTGATGAGAATTTTTGTTTAATTTTTAAAAATAATTGAAATTTTGCCAAGAATTTTATTAAAATTTTTAAAAATAATTGAATTTCGGAGAAGAATTTTATTATTTATAAAAATAATTGAAATTTTGCCAAGAATTTTATTATTTATAAAAAAAATAATTGAAATTTTGCAAAGAATTTTATTAAAAGTTTTAAAAAGAATTGAATTTCGGAGGAGAATTTTATTATTTATAAAAATAATTGAAATTTTGAAGAGAATTTTTTTTTAATTTTTGAAAATAATTGAAATTTTGCAAAGACTTTTATTAAAATTTTTAAAAATAATTGAATTTCGGAGAAGAATTTTATTATTTATAAAAAGAATTGAATAATTGAATTTTGGAGTAAAATTTTATTTATTTATAAAGATAATTAAAATTTTGAAGAGAATTTTTAAAAATTTTTAAACATAATTATTTATTTCTGCAATCATTACCAACTTCTCAAAAATTAAATTTTTTTAGTGTTTTATCTAAAATTCTTCTATAAATTAATTATTTTAAATAATTAATTAAATATATATTAAGAAATTTATCTAATTTCAGAGGAATTTAAATTATTAAAATTTTTGAAATAGTTTGAGTCCAAGAAAATACACCAAAATTCACGATTTTTTTTATCAATTCTAAAAATTTAATTTTTTCCTGTAAAAATTCCTGACTTTTCCCTAATCAATTTTACTTTCCCCATTTTCTTCAAAAAATAATGTTCACAAATTAAAAAAGGGTAAAATAACACAAAAAAAAGGGAAAAAATGCCGAATCATCAAAAAATGTGAAAAATGAGCCAAAATTGAAAAAAGGGAACTATTTATTATGTACTTTGTTTTATATTTAAGGATTCTTACGTGTTGAACGATGCAGTTTCTTCAAAGCCCTTTTTTCGACGAAGCGGTGTTTGAATCGAGGAAGTAATTTCCTTTTCAGTCATTTCTGTGTGAATACTTTTTCCCGAGTCAATTTCGTCGCAAATACTGATTAGTGCTCCCGCCGTTACGGAAACTGGATCGGGTGTTGGTGCCATTTCGATAGTCTCTTCGTTAATGTCAGCGTCTTCGATGTCACCCTCGTCGCCTTGGGAATCAAGTGTAACTGAAATTCGATTCAGTTTAGAATTCTTTATCTCATCGACGCTCGTTTCCATCACACACAATTCGTCCAAATCGTCCTGCAACAGAAGAGAAAGAATTTAAAATTTTTAAAAATTTATTCAAATTCCCAAACATTAAATTTACCTAGATTTTCAAAAATCTATTTAAATTCAGAAACTTTAAATTTACTTTTCAATAATTTACTCAAATTCAGAAACTTTAAATTTACTTCTCAAAAATTTACTCAAATTCAGAAACATTAAATTTACTTTTCAGAAATTTAAAATTTACTTTTAAAAATTACTTTTTTCGCTAGTAAAAAAAATGGTTAAAAGCCTCTTTTGCATTATGCAAGCATCACCTCTTTTTGTACTTGTTTATTTTCGCCGAGTGTTTTAATAGACTGTCGCTGTCGTTGATACGACAGGATCTTATCGACATATGCAAATCAGTGCATGCAACGCAGTCGGGGTCCTGGAAAGGATTTCTCCTTTCAGGCACGGAGAAAACTAACATCGACTGAAGTTTAGTAAGAACAAGAATTATAAGGGCTGGAGTAACAAAAAGTCACTTTTACTTTTAGTGAACATGGAGATGAGAGAAAGAGAGAGAGAGAGAGAGAATGAAGGCAAACTCTACATTGTAAAAGGGTTATAATATTATAACTCATCGGCTACTAAAGTTTTAAATAAAAGGAGGGCACATAATGAAACTGTGAAAAGTAACACCAGCATACCTCAAAGTAGGAGCCATCGTCAATGAATCGATTCTCAGAAGAAACATCACTGTCTGAAAGGTCGCCTTTCCAAGTACCAGGGTCAGAGGAAGGACAATGTCTTAAAGCTTTGACGCGTTTTGTTCGTCCTGATGAGCGTGTCGAACGGACATTTTGCCCCGAAGAATTATCTTCCCTTCCAGATTCTCGTGATTGCCTTCGGCTTAGTCGAGGTTGTTTCGTGACTGGCTCCTCATCGCTATCACTGCTACAACAACTGGACACTGAGTTCTGAAACAAAAAAAAGAAAATTTTCGTCAATTCATGATGCATTTTATTTCAATCACAAGAATTTAATTCCCTCGTAATTAAACGAAAATTTTTATTTCCATTGTTATTAAAATCAAATTCTTAATTTACTATTTCGAAAAAGTTTGTCAAAAAAAAATTTGCTATCACTTTATAATCTCTGTTTAAAAGTTTTCGTCTCAATATTAAAATCGAGATTAAAATTAAAATGCGGAATTATGAAATTTGCTTCCTCATGCTCATTATATTCCTTTTTTGGATGAAACACGCGAAAGAAAGTTTTTTCCGCAAAAAAAAGAGCTTCTCGAGTTCCTTCTCTCAAGAAATATTTCGGTGTAAAAAAAATTTCGGTATGAAAAGTGAAATCTCTTCCACCATAAGAAATTTCAAACTATAACTTCTCCCGAAAAGAGAAAGAAAGATAAAATTTTCTGATTGATTTATTAAAGATTGGAAAGAAAAATTGATAATCACGAGCAAAAGTATTAAAGAGAAAGACAAAAACTAAAAAAAAAGTGATTTATCACTTTACATTCCTTGTGTGGGTAATTATTTATTTTTTAATTACAAGCAATAAATTTACTGTCAATTAAAAAAAAAACTAAACTTAATTTGTACTCAAAATTGATTTTTCCTGTTAAAGAATTTTGTTTACAATTCTGAATTCTGTTTGCAAATATTGATTACTTCTATAAATATTATTTATTTATACAATAAAGAGGGAATAAATTAATAAATAATTTTTGCCTATATATAATGAAATTGTTGAAAATTATTAAGAGATTAAACGGGTTTTAATGCTTTCGGATCGTAATTTAAGGTACAGAGGCCTTTCCAACGTAACATTACTTCTCTCGGCTCGTAAGGAGCAATAATGCTTTAATTTATATATATTACGTTATTACATGTCGAATAATGAAAAGTAGAATTACTCATACGGCGCGCACTATTACACAGTCCAAGTATTTTTCTTTCCTATTTGTTCTTTTTATTAACAATCAAGGCCGGGTGAATGGAACAAAAACAGTCGCAGAATTATATTGTTCACTTTTCAATTATTTTTAAACTTTCACTATATAAATACGTGCGGCGAGATTTTGCAAATCTCCGCACAAAATTGTATTCGCGTTTTTCTTGACTATGCCGAGGAAAATTAAAATCAAAAATAAATAATTTTAAAAAAGGAAATAAACGAAATAAATAAATCTAATAAAAATAAATAAACGAAAGAAATTATTCAAATAAAAATAAATAAACGCAAGAAATAAATCGAATAAAAATAAATAAACGAAATAAATAATTTAAATAAAAATAAATAATTCAAATAAAAATAAATAACCGAAATAAATAATTTAAATAAAAATAAATAAACGAAATAAATAATTCAAGTAAAAATAAATAAACGAAAGAAATAATTTAAATAAAGGAAATAAATAATAAAAATAAATAAAACAAAATAAAATCAATAATAAAAATTAAACTAAAAAATAAATAATTAAAAAAAATAAATAAATAAACTAAATAATTAAAATAAAATCATTGCAATAAAATAAGAAAAAATACACCGAAGAAAATTTGTTTGTTTCAAATAATCGATTATTTGTCTATTATCGAATAAATATTTACCTGAATCAAATAATTTTTATTTGAGTCAATAAAATGGCATTTGCTTCAATTACTGAAATTATTCGTTTAAATTTTAAATACAATTTAATTGATTCAAATAAAAATTATTCGACACAAGTAAAAATTATTTGATTTAAGTAAATTTGATAATAGTCAAGTAATCGGTGATTTGAATCAAATAAATTTTTTTTCAGTGCAAAAAATGAACTGTGAAAAATTACAAATTAGAAAAAATAGAAACTGTATTAAAATAAAAGTAATAAAAAATAAGTTTTGAAAAATTACAAGTTAGATGAAGAGAAATCTGAATAAAATAAAATATAATAAGTAAAAAAGAAAAAAAAAGAAAATAAAGAAGGAGAAAATACAAAAAATTGCAAATTAAGAAAAAAGTGATTAATCCGAGAAATAAATTTAAATTATTAATCGCGTAAATTTTTTTTTAACTTTCACTCACTAACTTACCGTTGGAAAATATATGTACGCGTACATTTTTCTAATTAAAAATTAATTTTGCACTAAATTCGATAAAAAATCCCAACGTTTATTTCTTTCACTGTTTTTAAAATCAATAACAATTCTAATAATTTCTTTAAAATAGTAAAAGATAATTCACACTTTCAAAAAGTAGAAAATATTTTTTTTTCACTTTTTTAGAAAAAGTTTTCAACAAAAGCTCAAGAGACAAGAGGAGAAAGAAGAGCTCATGACTCCTCCTAATCCCAAGAGAGACTGAACTTCCTTCCTTCCGGAAATCTTGATGCTACCGAAAAAGTAAAGAAAATTTTCGCCAGGTCAAAATTGTACTTTTCCGCAGCAGCTTTACCCAAAATTATTTTTGCGTAGAGGGGGAAAAATAAGGTTCTCAGGTAGAGTACCTGAGATTTTTACCTCAATATACTCGAAACATGTCGAAACTCGAGAAAATTTCGAAAGATCAAATTTTCAAGATATTTTTTTTTTTCCGAAAGTACGCAGGGTAATATAATAAAGCATAGAGATTTCCTATCAGTAATAAATTTACAATAGAAATACATTTCCAAAAAAAAAAAAAATACCCTGTATAATTATTATTTATGAAAGAACAATAGCGAAAGTTATGGTATGCGAGAATAAAAGTGAAGAAATATAAAATTTTTCATCGCGCACAAGCAAATGTTCTTTGCAGCATCCACTTCTTCTAGTCACGAGCCAAGACTTTTCTTCGCGCTCTTTTGCTCATAAACAATCGCAATTTTCTCCAACAATTGCCTTCAAGTAACCAATTACGCGGGGAAAAATAACCCGGCTATTTTCTATTTTGAGAATAAATAATATATTTATAAATATGAATACCGAGAAAATGAAGAAGGAATATATATGTATAGACATAGTGTGGAAAGCGAAAGAGAGCCTGGAAGCAAAACGAAACTACTCGGAGGGAAAAAAAGTAACGCAAAATATAATAACACTAATAAACAATTATGCTAATTAAATGTTCTTCAAGGTATAAAAAAAATAACTATACAAAAGAATATTTTATTATTTTTACTGGAAACAAATTTTCATTACTTTCCGGTTGTTTTAATAATCAATTTAAAAACATTTTTGTGGTCAAAACTTTTTTTTAACGTAACTAGAAAAAAATTTTAAATAATTAAAATAATGATTTATCTTTTTAAATAATTATTTGGTCCAATATTCAACCCCTTGTCCTAATTTGACTCATTTAGCTCATTTACATTTTTGAACGGTTTTTTTCTAACCCACTTTTAATTTGACCTGCTTTTTTCCAAACCAATTTTAATTTGGCCTAGTTTTTTTAACCAACTTCGATTTGCTCTAATTTTTTTGCACTCTAATTTTAGTTTGATCTATTTTATTAATTCTGAATTAATCGAATTTTTGTTCGCGGACTACTCGTGATTTTCTAATTCAAAAATCTTTTTTTTTATTCACATCAATTTTTATTTGGTTTAATTTCTCTTTAACTTGATTCGTAGTTAAACGAATTTATTTACAATTAAGTCAATATTATAACAGCGGTGTTATTATCATTTTGCTAGAAAATTGTTTTTTGTGAAAAAAATTCTGCAAAATAAAAAATGTAGCAATTGTGCTAAATGAAAATTATGAAAATTAAAATTATAATAAATGATCGTGGATAAGAAAAATTATAATTTTACATGAATTTTATTCAGCAGAAATTTTATCGATTTTTATTTATTCAAGAATTTTCTAATTACTACAATTAATATTTAGGTAAGTGGATTTTTTTAATGAGCGACATTTTCAATTTGAAAAATATTCATTATTAATATGTGTTTAAGAAATTACCATTTAAGAAACTTTTAAGAAATTTTAATTTAAAATAATTTTTATTCGCTGGAATTTCTATTGAATAGAAAATTGCATTAGGAAAACATTTATTCAGTAAAATTTTAATTTAATATTTTTATAACGTAACTGAAATTTAATCAAGTACAATTTGTATGCAGTGTAATTTTTATTAAGCAGAAATCTTAATTAATACTTTCATTCAAACTAATTTTTATTATTTTATTATTAACAGAATTTTCGATTTAACGAATTTTCATGTAACAGAAATTCTCTTTGACAAGTAAAATTTTTTATCAACAAAAGTTCCTAATTATTACAATTATTATAATTATTATTTAGCGAAATTTTTATAGAAAAGAGTTTTTATTTAGACTAATATTCATTAAGCATAATATTCTTTGAAGATATTTTCATTTTGCAGGATTTTCGATTTATAGAATTTTTATTAACTGTAATTTTCATTAAATGGAGAATTTACATTAGAAAAAAATATATTTAGCAAATATTTATATTAATAATTTTATTGAAAATAATTATTGTTAAACGCAATGAAAAAAATTCTGTTTGGAATAATAAGAATTCGGGTTATTTTAACTTGAACAAAATGTTAAATAATACACTTACTACTTTTTCTGGTTAAATTAACCGAATTCTTGTAAATTTGACAAGAATAATTCTAGTTAATTAAACCTAAATTTTAATTCATTTAACCAGAACACTAATTAATTTAAACATATTTTTAGTTAATTTAACCAGAATTGAGTCCATTTAACTTGCGAATTTTGGTTAATCTAACAAAAATTTTAAAATATTTAACCTTAGTTACGGTTTGTTTAATAAGAATATAATGTTAATTTACTGCTTATATTAACCACAATTCTAATTAATTTAAGCAAAATATTTATTAATCTAACCACAATAAATTCTTGTAAATTTAAGAAAAATACTAGTTAACTCAATCAAAATTTTAGCAAATTTAACCAGAATACTAGTTAATTTAACCAAAATTGTAGACAATTTAACCTGAATTCTGATTC